TCTTTCTTTATGTCTCTCTTTTTTGCTTTATCTCTTTCTTTCTTTCTTTATTTCTTTCTTTCTTTCTTTCTTTCTTTCTTTCCTTCTTTCCTTCTTTCTTTATTTCTTTCTTTCTCTTTCTTTCTTTCTTTCTTTCTTTCTTTCTTTCTTTCCTTTATTTTTTTTTCTTTCTGTATTTCTTTATTTATCTCTTTTTTGCTTTCTCTCTCTTTCTTTCAATTCTTTCTTTCTTTCTTTCTTTCTTTCTTTCTTTCTTTCTTTCTTTCCTTCTTTCCTTCTTTCTTTATTTCTTTCTTTATTTCTTTCTTTCTTTCTTTCTTTCTTTCTTTCTTTCTTTCTTTCTTTCTTTCTTTCTTTCTTTTGTTTCTGTCTTTCTTTCTTTCTTTCTTTCTTTCTTTCTTTCTTTCTTTCTGTCTTTCTTTCTTTCTTTAGTTCTTTCTCTTTCTTTATTTCTTTCTTTATTTCTTTCTTTATTTCTTTCTTTCTTTCTTTCTTTCTTGTGTTTCTGTCTTTCTTTCTTTCTTTCTTTCTTTCTTTCTTTCTTTCTTTCTTTCTGTCTTTCTTTCTTTCTTTAGTTCTTTCTCTTTCTTTCTTTCTTTTTTTCTTTCTTTCCTTCTTTCTTTCTTTCTTTCTTTCTTTCTTTCTTTCTTTCTTTCTTTCTTTCTTTTCCTTCTTTCCTTCTTTCTTTCTTTAGTTATTTCTCTTTCTTTATTTCTTTCTTTATTTCTTTCTTTTATTTTTTTTTCTTTCTGTATTTCTTTATTTATCTCTTTTTTGCTTTCTCTCTCTTTCTTTCAATTCTTTCTTTCTTTCTTTCTTTCTTTCTTTCTTTCTTTCTTTCCTTCTTTCCTTCTTTCTTTATTTCTTTCTTTATTTCTTTCTTTCTTTCTTTCTTTCTTTCTTTCTTTCTTTCTTTCTTTCTTTCTTTCTTTCTTTCTTTCTTTTGTTTCTGTCTTTCTTTCTTTCTTTCTTTCTTTCTTTCTTTCTTTCTGTCTTTCTTTCTTTCTTTAGTTCTTTCTCTTTCTTTATTTCTTTCTTTATTTCTTTCTTTATTTCTTTCTTTATTTCTTTCTTTCTTTCTTTCTTTTTTTCTTTCTTTCTTTCTTTCTTTCTGTATTTCTGTATTTCTTTATTTCTCTGTTTTTTGCTTTCTCTCTCTTTCTTTCTTTCTTTCTTCCTTCCTTTCTTTCTTTCTTTCTTTTTCTTTCTTTTTTCTTTATTTGTCTTTCTTTCTTGTTCCCTCTATGTTTTCCGCCTCTGTTGGCGTGACAAGACCGCGTTGAAGGCGCAAACTAACTTCGGATCGTGGGCAGGGCCGGGCGCGCATGTCAATGCCTCCTCCGGCCCGAAGACCAGCCAGGCGCACGTACACCCTGATTGTCCCCACCTCTGAAATCCGCACCTGCCCTTGCAAAAATGTTGCGCGTGCAGGAAACCTGCGCCTGCGACAACGCTGCGACTGCCACGAAATCTGCGCATGACCAGTGACTATGCAAAAGCGCGTCAACAAGCAGGCAACTTTCGACCATCCCATGAAATCAAACCAGCAAAGGGTTGCTCTCGCCGCACGCGCACGCGTGCGTGCTATCTGTGAGAGCGCTAGCTGTCAATTTGCTGCCGTACCACGAAAGTTCCTTCTAACTTTCTTGACCGACCATTTTGTTAACCCAGCATTTGAAGCATACCCCACCCTATGAAAGGAACTTATCCTGCGTGCCAGTGCGCACGCATACCCAGAAGCAAAAAAATCCGCTGTTACCCAAACACTGCCGGCAGCGCTTGAGTTCAATTGTGCTTTCTCGAGACTCGACAAACATGCCTAATATCCACACTGGAAGACTGTGTTTACCCGCCATGGAGGAAAAATCACTTCGAAAGCTTCTTGCCAGCACCATGTGGTGCATCCATCCACAGTCCTAGGGGTTGATTCCCCATTCTTTTCCACCATCGTCCTTTCTCAAAACCAGCTGTTTCCCCTGCGTTTCCGGAGGTTTTCTGGAAAGAAGGAGCCCTGGAAAGAATGGAATTGAAAGGTACCCTTAGAACAGTATCAAAGCCTTCCTTGCCGCAGGTAGGCTGCGCCGGATCTGCGGTCCGTCCTCTAACCTCTCCGCGATCATCTGCGCAGCTTCGCCCGGGGGGCAGCGGAGCACCGGCAGGACCCGCATGGTGGCGACTACAGAAAGCAAGCCATCCACGATCCGCTCGATGTACCTTTCACCACTTCGTCGAAAAAATATTGAATGAGAACCCAAATAGAACCCAAAAACACACACTACCCCCCCCCCCAAAAAAAAAAAAAAAAGTGAGAAACATTCTGTGGTTTGAGCTAACTTGGTCTTAGCCTTTGAGATGGAAATTCTAAAGCTCTAAATTTGGTGTTGCCAAGGCGGGGGGGTTGGTCTTAGCTCTTGAGCTGGGAAGGGCAAAGGAAACCAGCTTCCTGGAGAATAATATCGGCCACAATGTCCGTATGTCGCTTGTTTTTTCCTGGTTGTTTTTGTGTTTGTTGTTTGTTTTTCTTGTTTACTTTGTTCATTTCTGCTCACTTTCTGTGATCTGGTTTGTGCAATTGTTTTTTATTGTATCGTTGTTCCTCCTTTCGGTTGCTTGTTCCCACTGTTGTCTTGGCCTTTGCGCTGGGAAGGGCTTGGATACCAGCTCCCTTCAAAAGTAAAAGGCAAAGACTTTGATCTGGAATTGTTCCTCAAACTATCGTGCACGTGCCATTGAAGCGTACCCAAAATATACCTACAAATATACATGGTTTCCTGTCAGTCCCTTCAAAATCCCCAAAATCCCCAAAACAAGGAGCGTCCTCAACATGAAAAAGCGCAATGAACCTGCAATCTGTCCTTTCCCTCTCAAACTTGACATAAATGCAACTTCAATGCCCTCCCAGCACTGCAAGACCGGCAAACATCTCAGCTTCGGCCAGGGCTGCTGTCGCATGACCCGCTCTTCCAGCTGAGTGCTGTTCAGAGTCATGTACGCCTCGGTTCGGCAAATGCGGGCTCCTTTTGCATGGCTCGCGATCAGTCATTGAGCGGTCCGAGCTGCCGCGGGCAAGTTCAGCGAGAACAAGGTCGGCGAAAGGGACACGAAGGAGATGTATCTATCGAACACCCCAGCGACCTGGCGAAGGGGGCTGCTTCCATCTGCGTCATTCCACGTTCTTTTGTTTCCCCTTTGAAGATGATCCCAGACGGGGTTCACTCAGAATTTGCATCAGGGAATCATAACACCCGCTACGCACTTGACGTGTTTTGCTTCACAGATGGCCAAGAAGATAAAGGCAACAATCCCTGGCTGCACCAGGTGCTCATATTTTGGGGGTCTTGTTGAGGGCGCTTCAGGGAAGCCACCGGAACACCCATCGAATTTTGAGTTCCATGATGTTCTTCGGCCTTCTGAGCGCCGCCGGTCTCCACTGCATTCTTCGCCAGGTCTTCCAGCAGTGACCTGAAAGCCGGCAAATGTTTAGGAGCCGTTGATTCGGAAAGCAACTGCCATGGATCATCCGGAAATTCCTTGGTTGTTTGAAACAAGTTGTTTTGTGATGTGGCGTGATTTCACCCACCTTGACTTGCAATACCTACCAGCCACAAATGGAGCCCGTGCAAGCGTTTTGTTTTTTTAAATGAAATCCAACGGCGCCTTTGGCTCATCTCTTTGGCAAAAAGGACAGCCCATTTCTGTCGAGCCCAGGCTTCCTGGACCCTCTCCGCGCCTCGGCACAGCGCTGGCAAAGTTCACCTCACATCGGTGCACTGGATGAGGCCCAACCGTTGACCCCGAGTTACCGGTGAACCTAAAGATCCATCTCAGGTCAAGGAGTGAAAGGGCCCAAGTTGGGTTTCGGCCTTGACCTCTGGCCAGCCACCGGAGAGCTCAGAAGGTTGGATTACACAAACCGTTCGATGCGCCCGACACTGGCAGAAAAAGCCAGGGCTTGAACTAAAGCCCGAAACGCCCGAGACACTAAGGACCCAGCATAGCAACTCTCATAGAGGTTCTTGGAGAGGTCCTCGATGATCTTGCCGATGTTCTGCTCCGTGGGCTCCACAAAGTAGACCTCAACTTGCTTCGAGAAAACGCTCGAAGGCTCCCAGCAGAAAACGTTCTTGGTTTTCCTTATGCACGCCGAGGCTCTGCAGGGACATCTGCCACGGGGAGCCGCTCGCTGTTGATGTTCAAGTGCAAGGTCACCTCGTTCAGTATGGGGCGGTTGAGGTTTTTTTTTTTTTTTTTTTTTTTTTTTTTTTTTTTTTTTTTTTTTCGGGCTCTACGATGCGCAGAATTTCGACCTTCAATGCAAAGCTTTGCTTGATGAGTTTCAGGGCCTTGGCAACTCCCCTTCCGGCAAAAGGTCAGCTTCCCTTCGGAAGAGGGCCAGCTCGCTCATTATTTTCCGCCAGGCGGCTCCGTGATTCCTCAGGCCACCAACCTTTAGCAGCAAAGACACCACGTCCTGGAGGGCGCTCAATGGGTTTGCCAACACCTGGAGAGTGGCTTTGAGAGGACACGTGTTCCAACCCGCGCTCCTGGCAGAACTTGTCATACACCAGGACCTTCCAGGTGGATCCCGTCGATGTCTCTCCGGCCTCTCCCAGGTTCAGCATCCGGAGCCTCACCGCACTGGCGCAAGGAGCCCTCCGGACCCCAGCGGACCCCAGCTAAACTAAACAAAAACCTCCGGGAGCCCGGGCACCGCATTCTTCTGGAGCTCCAGGATGCTTTGAGCCATCCTGACCGAACAAGCCCAGCCGAGCACCTGGCCTCGTTGCCCCGCCTGGAGCGCCACGCGCCGGCCGCGGCCGGAGGTTCAGCTGAGGCCCAAAACGGCCGCGGCCAAGACTCCCAAGATTTCCAGTTTCCCGCGACTGTGGAGGAAAATCCCCAAAGAACCCCGTGACTTTGAGCATGTCTCGTCATGGTTCCAAGTCATTGCTCACAGGTCCTCCCAACCCTCAGGCACCTCAGGCACCTCAGGCCCCGACCCGACCCGGCCCACCACAGCTGTAGCACCTGGAAACATTCCGAAGCGGCCACATCATGCATGTTCGGAAAGGGGACTGGCGTTGCGGACCAGAAGGAAACCCACGTGGCCGAGCCCGAGGCCAAAAAGGATCTGCGTCGTGGCCAAACATCCCGGCACGAGCACCTCGCCAACTCCAGCAAAAAGTCCGGAAGCGGAGGCTTGCGAAGCACCGAGGCCCCGGCAGACAGCATAAGCCGGCGCGTCACCAATCGCGCATTGGCAAATGGGTGCAGGTCAAAAATAGGTACCCAAAATGGAACCCTGGTAGATGGAATCAAGACTAAATCCTGGCTTTGCTTTCACCCATGCCCAAATGGCACGCCTTGCTCCCTGTAGCAGCGCTTGCAGCGTCTCTGCAAAGATGAGCTGGTGACTTTGCTGTGGCAACCCGACTTGTGGGCTTCCAGCGTGGGCTGCGATCCAAGCTAGCACCCATGCAGACGCAATAGCACACGCAAATGCAATAGCTGCACACTCACAGACATGCTCATGCATAAGTGGCGGTCATCTTTGTTCTTGTTTGGGTTCATTTACCGCCATGCCGCCTGTTGCCGCTGAGATCTTTGGGTCGTCGGCAGGTCCTGAGGCTGGTGAAATGACCGGCCCATAGAAAGGCCGAATGCACGTACTGCCTCAATCTAGGAGCATGCTCCATCAACCCTGGCCTTGGAAGGTATCAACAAAGGCGTTGACGACCATCTGGCAAGATTGGCATCTGAATTCGACTGTGCATCCGTCCTGCGAGATTTCGGCGTCGCATCCATGCTCATGTTTTTGTGTTGTTGTTTTTTCGGCGATTGGCCAGGGAAACCTCTCTCTTCTATGGCGATCACGGCTCCTTGCATCCCCCCGGCTCTGGAAGGAGTCCCCCTTGCTCTGGAAGGAGTCGTTCAAAGGTGAGGGTATTGACATCGATCGGCTCGTCCGCTTCGACTCACCTCAACTCAGGGCCAAAGTTTCAGGGCCGCACTGCCTGATTCTGGGGCCCTGGCTGCGGCCTGGGGAGGCCAACCGAGACACCGTGGGCTTTGCATCGCCCACAGTGAGCCTCGCATCACCCTTTGGTCCCGGCTCCACACGTCAATGTGCTGGCAACGGGGGGGGGCTGGCAAGCTCACATTCGGATCGGCCCCACATGCAAACCAACACCCGTGCCCCGCTTACCCGAGGCGCTGCCACGCTGCCAGGGCATGCTCCAGCTTCGGGACCTCGGAGTTGAGCGGTGCCCACCTGAGCTCCGAGGCCTTCCGGGGGGATTTTGTCGAAGGAAAAACCGGGGGGTCCCGGTCGTCTTTTGGCCACTGGGGACAGCTGCCTTTTCTTTTGTTTAATCAAAGTAAGTGATATACATATTGATGTTCAAGGGCTGGTAAAGGCTCCCCTTTTTGCAGATTTCATGCACGCGCCGCAAGGCGGTGTGTGTGATCTCATAGCTGTCATTTAAGATCCTGATGCACCCAATGGATGCTAAATTAGTAACAAATTCTAGACCAATTCTAGACCAACAAATGTGCTGTCGACCCTGACTCCAGTTGTCTCAGGGGCTGCTTTTTAGAACCAACACTACCCCAGTGCCAAACCAGTCAGGACTAACCAGCCAATACTAAGCAATACTAAGCCAGTCAATACTAAGCCAAGCCAAACAAATACCTCAACCTGACACTGATTGCTATGTTGAACGTTATGTATTGTGGGCCCAGGAGAAACCCATTTGGACAAGGCAGTGGACCCTCTGTCTACCCTGGACGAACATTGTTTGCGGGGGAGGGAGGGCCGTATGCAAAACGTTGCAAAGCCCAAGGTTGACAAGTCAGCAGAGACCTGGAAGCCCAAAACAAGGAAGCATGACGCAAACGAGATGCCTAAGATCGGGGTGCAATCCTTCTAACATCATCTGACGTCTTCAAGACATCATAGAAGCATTCTTGGTGTAGAAGGTCAGCTAAATGGGCTGCCGATTTTCAGGGCTGGAAGGCTTGATGCACTTGCGGAGCTTCAAAACTCGAAACAACGCCATGAACTTCTGGAGACATGGGTTGCCGGACTCAATCCGGTGGACTCCAAAATACCAAAAGCGCCACTTGGGCGCCAGACTCGCCACCCCAGATCGCGCAGCAGCTCTTCCCCTCGGTCCTGCAGCTCGGCTCGACGGAAAAGGAGTTGTTTTAAGCTTTTGTCTGGTTGGTGGTTTGGAGCCCGGTGGTTTGGCGGTTAAGGAGTGGACGCCTCCGCGCGCTGACACGCGCGCCGCTGACGCGTCCTGGACTGGGCCATGGAGCACACCACCCGGCGCCCGCTGCCCAGGTGCAGCGCCAGCGTCTGCAGGCGCTGCATCAGCACCTGGCTCTGCACAGCCAGCGCCCGCCCCGCCGCCAGCACCTGGCCGTCGCCAACGAGGCGAAGGCCATGGCAGTGACGTTGAAAAACCACCTCCCCCAACATCAAAAAATGGAGCTGGTGTTTCATTGACCCCCCCCCCCCCGAAAGAAAAAAACAACAACAAAAAACGTGGCAACTGCTGGGCTCTCTGCCGCCGAAGCTACCCGTGAGAGCTGGTCATGCCCGTTGAGCTGCTGGGGCCTGAGTGGGAAAGAAAAAAGGACCTCGCAAAACTTGGTATAACATCTAGGGGTTGATTCCTTGTCCATTTGGCTGCGGGTCAAAAGTGGGTACCCAAAATTCAACCCTGGTAAATGGAAATATGAACTCAACTCTGCGGTCCCCTGGTTGGTAAATTTTGACCCACAGCCATTTATCCTCAACCATTGTTCTTTCCAAAAACCGGATCCGTTCTCTTCCTGGGTTTCTGGAGGGTTTCTAGAAAGAAAGATCCCTGCAAAAAAATGGGGAAGGGAGCCCTGGAAAACACTCCTTTGCAAGAATGCCAACGTGGGTGGGTCTTTGGTTGAAGGGTATCCCTTTCAAATGGAAAACCGAAACCAGTGGAAACAAGCATGCCTCAGGTTGCCTTGTGGAAGAATAAAAAAGAAAATATCTTTTCGCGGCAAGGTGCTGTGGCTTCAAGGCCATTTTCCCCAAGGCCTCTACCGCCTCGAGGGTCAGTGTGGCATCTGGTTGCACCTGACAAACACGGCGAAAAGATCCACCACATCGGCCTAACATGGGCAAACAAAAATATGACCGCCTTGGAGCCTTACAGGATTTCCAAAGGATGAAGCTCCTGGTCTTGCCACCAAAAACACCGGAAGCAGGACAGTAGCTCGTCATTTGATGCTTTTAACAGCTCCTCTCACACTCTTGCGGCCATTGACAGGCATGGGCTGTATCCAAAGAACAAGTAGGTATTGTTTATGAGGCTGCGCCTCCCCAGTAACACCTGGGTTTCAGTTTTGATGGAAACCACAAAGACACTAGAACATTAATCCCGCTCTTCCTAAGGGTCCCAAATGTAGGTGTGAATAAGCCGAATTCTCCTCAAAAAGTACGTTCCACATTGGTGGAACCGCACCAACGAAAACCAGTGCAAGCTGTGGAAAAACGCAAGAAAAACTACAAGCTCCTCACCCCCAATGATCTCATTGCCTTACAGCACCGACACAGAAAAATGTTCCTTGCATTTTCTATTGAGGCTGCCAGCCCACCAGGGCTCCATTCATAAGATTGCCCCAAGGGGCCGACGATTCACCCAAACCAGAAAACAATACCTGACTGTTAGGTAACTGTTAGGCCAAAAACTTGGCAAATACCATCTGTGATTCACAACCCCCCCCCAGGCCAAGCTTCATTTTTGGCAATGAAGCGAATCGTAGGTTCATAATACTGTGCATGGACGGATTCCTGCCCCAAGTTTTACCACGGGAAACCATTGTTTGCTGGCTTTTACAGGGCAATCTCTCTCCCAGGGTTTCTTAGGTGGTGCGAAATGGGATTTCGCAACCATCCACTGTATCCCCCCCCCTCCCCGGCACACCTCCCCCGGTAGCCCAGTTTTCCCCGTTCCTGCAGTTGCCGCGCCGCTTGCTGCAGCACCACCGCTTCCGCGGCGCCAGCTTCCGCGCGCAGCTGCCGCTCCACCTTCGATGGCAGGCACTGACGTCTGCACCAGCGGGAGCTGGAGGCATCCCCAGTCTTCCAACACCCTCTTGTGGTGGGGTGGGGTGGGGTGGGGTGTACGAGTGGAAGGAATTGAAGACAAGCCCGGCCTTGCAGGAGAGGCAGTGCTCTTCACATGGACAACTGCTTTCTTGGGGGGGGGGAGTATGACACCAGACAAAGAGATGCCCATTTCATGCCCAGCCTCCATGTAACCCACAATGAATGATGGCACAAGTAGACGCAGTCCCTCGCCAAAGAATTGGCTACAGCATACTATGCATTCCAACTGTTCCCCCTTCCGTCCCCATCCCCCACTTCTACCAGCACCTACTCCCAAGTTCTACTTGGTTTCAGCGTGGTCTCAATTCGAGATCAATCATGGACACCGAATGATACCGACACTAGCTTCTCTCACGGCCACACTCCTTGCCCACCCATCACCATGCACAAATAGAACTTTCTTTTCGAAATGAAACAGGCGCACGCACTTCTAGGATCCATCTGCTTCATGTTGACCCCAAATTAGTCAAACCCCGTCAAGTCATCTGGGTGTGTCCCTGGTTTTAGTAGGGGATTTATCAATTTTGGAGGGGTGTCCACCCCGTATTTTCCATAAGCAAGGGGTTGATTCATCTGGGTCAACATGAAGCCGATGGGTCAAAAGCCCGCAAGCTCAGTGAACATCCCAATCCCCACTAAAATAGGTTCTAACATGGGTGGTGAATTCACCTACCCCAAGAAATGGGGTCCCATTGGTTTTGACAACCACGGCCAAATGGGCTGGACTCTCCAGAGAAGTCAGGGCCTTTGAAAGGTGTTGGACCTCAATCAAGCACTCTTGCAGACCAAGCCAAGCTCCTCCCGCCTGAAAAGGAATGAAAGCTACTCTCAGATCCCAAAACAGCTTTGACAACCACGGCCACATGGCTGTGGGTCAAAAATGGGTACCCTAATGGAATGAACAATATGCAAATATGGACCAAAACCTGCGGTCCTGGTGGTTTCATTTTGACCCATACCCACATGAAGCCGCTGCTCCCATCCGCCTGCGCGAAGCCCCGGGCCAGGCTCTCCCGCAGCTCCCGCTCCGCGCCCAGCGCGGCCCGCAGCTCCGCCAGCTCCAGCTCCGCCTGGAGAAAAAGCACAAAACCCAAAAGATGCCAAAGAAGAAGGAGGGAGAAAATCAGAGGAAACCTAGTTAGTTCAGGCCACCTCAGAGTGTCAGAAGCAGGTAATGAATCTTAACAGATGCATTAAGAATATTGGAGACCTGTTTTGGTGTTCCTTCTTCCTAAAAAAATATTCAGCGTTACCTGAGGAACCTTCTTCCATTGGGGAAAGTTGGAGTGAGATAAAAACTTCCTTCCTGAGAAACCCAAGAAGAAGACGAATGCGGTTTTCAAAAAGAAGCTGATTCTTTTCCGTATCTTTTGTTCGCAGTGAGTTTCTCCCTGTGGTTGCCGTTGCGCAGTAAGGATTGTATGACATCAGGAGTATTTTGGCCCCCCATATTTAAAACAACTGGTTTGGCCACCTAAAAGCCTTCGAAGACAAAAGGGGAATTGTGAATGGAGGAGGAGTTGGGAGTCTCCCAAGCTTGGTTTAAGCCCTCACTAACCAGAACGCATCTTTTGTCGCGTTTGGTTGACACTTCATGAATGACTGAACTGAAGCTCCACACAAGCCCCGACTTTCTAGAAGTTTGCCAGGGCCATCCCAAAAAACGAATCACGGCAACGGCTGAGCAATCACGGTTTGCCGTTGCCAGCCTCGACTTGGTTCACATGCGGAACAGGCAGCGCTGGCACGGGAGCTGCTTGGATGTCCCGCAGCCCGGTCAAAGGCACCGGCGAGGGCTCCGGCATGTCCGCGGGCCGCTTGCTGGGCACGCGCCGCGGCGTCCCAGTCCGCTCTCGCTCGGGTGAGGCGCGCAGCGCGGTCGCCGTCACTGGCTCCATGTGGGAATGAATCTTGGCTGCTGCGCGGCACGGAGAGTGGATGTCCACCCTTTCCCTGAGTTGATGCTCCCTATCTGAGCTGCGCGGCACTGGCGCCAAAGCACGGCCCGGCTCTCGGAGATCCAGGGCCCCGACCTCACGGAGCTCGCGGAGCTCGTGGAGCTCGCGCAGCTCCCGGGCCGGCGGAAGCTCCCTGACCTCCGGCTCCAGCGCGGCCAGCTCCGAGCGCAGCGCCGCCAACTCCTCGCGCAGCTGCAGCTCCAGCCGCGAAACAGGGCTCCCCAACGGCCAAGTCACAGGCTCCTGCGCGTCAGCAAAAGCCGGCCATGCGATTGCAACAAATTTCCTTCCCCTTCCCTCCTGCAGACCCGAGACCTTACCTCGGAAATCAGCCGGCATGGGAGGCGAACGCTGTCCTGCACAGGGCAATGATGACCCGAAATTGTCCAAGCGATTGTGACCATTTTCCAGCGCATTTCCAGGGGCAATGCCTTTCGAGATTGCAGGCAGCGGTGGCTCAAGGACGCCACAAATTAACACACCGGATTTCGGCCTGCACGAGGCAACTCCAGGGATGGCACAGCCATGGCGTCGGCGTCACAGCGGTGCGAGCAGCATACCATGGAACAAAAATACGTGAAAATGTTCGCGCGAAACCATGCGTTTGTGATGGTGAAGAACTGTGACCTCTGCTTGGAAAGCGAATGCCACCAAACTGGGCCGAGACGCCAATCTAGGTCTGCCGTTCACTTGCGGCACACTTTCGCCGATCACTTCCGACACAAACGGGCCTCAACTTCTTGCCGGTTACTTGCGACACAAACGCAGCACAATCCTCAGCCCCAGCATATTGGGTGGGGTGGGCTGGGTGGGGCCCGGTGAGGCGGAGTGGGGTGGGGTGGGGTGGGGTGGGGTGGGGTGGGGTGGGGTGGGGTGGGGTGGGGTGGGGTGGGGTGGGGTGGGGTGGGGTGGGGTGGGGTGGGGTGGGGTGGGGTGGGGTGGGGTGGGGTGGGGTGGGGTGGGGTGGGGTGGGGTGGGGTGGGGTGGGGTGGGGTGGGGTGGGGTGGGGTGGGGTGGGGTGGGGTGGGGTGGGGCATGTGGCTTTGGGACCACTACTTGCTTGCATGATGGCCTAGCGTTCCCTTTGCGCAGAGCTAATGACTTCGCCCCTGAATTGGTCCTTCTTCAGTAACCTTCTCCTTGGTGTCACGCTGGCCATACTTTATTTGTCGAGCGAATGGCATCTCTTTTTCTGTGGCAATTAGAGCCTCCGATTGCGGTGCATGTACATCATGCTTTGCATGCGGATATGACTGAACACAAAAACAATCCTCACATGTCCCCTTCATATCCGCTGCATTTGAGACACTTGTGCACCTGTCTCCCACCCTTGTAGTGGGGACATTTCTCGTGCGTGTGATACACGTTGCCTGTCGGCAACATCCGGACCGGATTGGTCCTCTTCCTCAGTTCGCTACGTGCACTCACCTCTGGCTCGCTGTCGTTGGCCTCCTGAAACGTTGCTTTGCCGGAGATGATGATCTCCTTCTGAATCTTCTTGATGAAGAAACTCCACAGCCACTGCACCAGGCTCAAGGCTCCTACGCCGGCCAAAATGGCTAGCACCGGCCACATCCAGCTGTCGCTCTCTCGCTTTCCTTGGTTCCACTCACCCTGATCACGTTGGCGAATGCCACCACCAATGCCATGCGGTACTCATCCTTCAAGCCGCTGAGAATCTTCTTAGCGCCCTTGTCGCTCAGCATCTTGCGCTCGATGTCGCGGAACTCGTCCTTCCCGAGCTCGCGGTTGTCATCGTCGACCATGCCCGTCATGAACATCAATCCTCTCATCCTGGCGCGTGCCAGCGCCTTGGTGCCAATGTCCGCGCTGTTGATACTCCTCGGAATGGCTGTCACCCTGATCACCTTCTCGTGGCATTTCTGCTGCAGCCACATCATGACTGCATCTAGGCGTCGGGTTCTGCCAATCCCAACTTGGCTGCACATTCCGCGGGCCGCGCTGCTGTCTGACCTGCACACCAGGGTTGGTGTGTGGCCTCTGATGAAGGACCACACGTGCCGAAGAAAAAGTCCTTCACTGAACCCAGAGAGCATGGCCACGTACTCGCTCTCACCGCTTGAAAGTGAGATGCTTTTCTGGCTTCTCACTCTGCTCTCCATGAGGTTGCCGTCGAGGAACACCTGGAAGCTCGTGATGCTCTTTCTCGAGTTCTGGTCCCCCGCGTAGTCGCTGTCAGCGACAACCTCCATGAGGTGAACTTTCTTCACCTCGATCTCCTGCATCTCTCTCATGTCCAACATGGACTTCCCACACCTGCTGCTCCAAGTAGCTTGCCAAATGCTCTGCATGCCTCCATGCCGTCTTCGTAGGCTTTGACATCCACGCAGCAAGGGCATTGATGGCGAACTGACAGTCAGGCCGCTCACCTCCAATGTAGAGCATCTTCCCCGCGATCGACCTGAATTCCGATGTCTCCGCCTCCGACAGCTCTGCACTGCCGTCTCTTTTCCCAAGGTTGTAGTTGCCTATCTTGATGTCGGCCTTCTTCGCGATGTCCTTGATGTGTTTGGGATCTGGCCGAATCACAGAAGCCTTCAACAATCTTCCTCTTCAATTACTCGAAACTCTCGCCAATGTCAAATGGCCCATCAGAGTTGGCTGCATCACGTCATCCTCCATGCCAAACTCTCGCGCTGCATCCCTGAAGCGGATGTACCATCTGTTGGCTGCTGTCCGCTGTCCTGGCAGACATCGAACCAACTTGTACCTCTTTCCTTTGTATGTCACCGATGCCCTTTCTTCTTCTGGCTGGGACACCATCAGGAATGCGTCCTTGACGTCAATGACCTGCACGCCGTAGTACTGCGGGCAACATGCTGCCAGGTGTAGCAGCATCAGGGCAATTGCCATCAGTGATGTGGGAGCAAATGAATCCTCCACATCCACACTCCACCGGAACTGGCGCGCCACAAGTCTCGCTCTCCGGAACCAGCCTCCTTTCTCCTCTCTTTTCTTCCACGTAATGACCATCTTGGTGGTGATATCGTTGTAGTCGTTCTCCTCATGTGGCTGCAGCTCCGTCAAGGCGCGATTTCTTCTTCCTCCGCTTTCCCATCCATCCTCTGGATCTCCTCCTGATCAAACTCCATGACCTGCATCTCGTCATCCACCGTTTCCAAGCCGTCCGCTTCGTCTGGACCCCAATCATTCAAGTCCAGCTCGGCTATGCCCTCAATCTCGTCCCAGACGTTGGTGTCTCCGTGGGGCATCACCGTGATTTCATCGACGTTGAACTCGTCAACGCCTCTTCTCTTGGCTGGCGTCCTCTGATCTGATCATGGCTTTCGCCCTTCTCGCACTCTCCTCTTCTTCTTCCTGTTTTCTTCCTCCTGGGTCGCTCATCGCTGCTGTTGGGGGTGGAGGCAATTGCCTCAGCACCCGGGGCTCTGTCAGAGCGGCTGTTGCTGCTGCTGTTGCTGGCGCCGATGAGCTTGATGTCGCCATCGGATCTTCTCCCTTGCCAGGCTCCTCGGCCTTCCTCTTCTCCGCAAACCTTGGAGTTGCCAGCCCTGTCTTCACAACTGGCGTTTGTCCTCCTCCAAAGAGTCCTGGGGTGGCCAACCCAAGCGCCGCCGCCATGCCAGCCTCTCGCGCTTGACGCTCAGCAGATGCCTCCTTTGCCTTCGTCTCCTCTCTTCGCTCCTCAGTGTTGTCCAGCTCAGCCTTCTCGTCTTCCTACGCCTCATCAGCTGCTGCTGCAATCCTCCTCCGAATAGTTCCAGGGCAGGCCCTTTACAATCACCAGGTCGGTGCCAATGAACTGATCTGGGAGCCGCACAGTCCTTGACTCCACAGCACCGCCCGGCGTGAGCACGATGTGGCAGTCGGTCCATGGGGATTTGCCAACCCAGATTCCTCTACCAAACCTGGGCTCTCCTTTGAATGCTGTGAGGTGTCTGTACATGACACTCTCCCCGAACAGGCAAATCTTCCCCTGGTACTTCCTTCCTGACCACACCTCATAGCTCGTCTTTCTTTCCTTCTCCAGCACGCGGTACCTGTTGATCAGCCACGAAGCATGTCTGAAGCTCCATGGATACACATGCGAGTTGCCCAGTGTGGTCATCTGAGCTTGCTCCTCCGCATAGTACCTCAAACAGTTTGCCAGCCTTCTCACACTCTGGACAGTCCTCTCCGCTTGTCCATTTGACGCGTGCTGTTGCACTCCTGAGATGCGGATCTCGGTCTCCAAGCCCAAATTGGCTCTGCAGTGTTGCACAGCTCGAAGCAGCTGCTTTGTTGACCTTTCCCCGTCGCTCTGATAGATCACGGGGTCTCCTCCAGCAACCTGCATTCCAAACCGAACCAACCATCAGCTTGAGGTTGGGGGCTCCCTTGCTCATCACCGGCACTCATCACCGGCACTGCATGAACTGCCTTGGTGTGATGGTCGGCAATGTACAGCACAGTGCCGTATTGCTCATCCGCATCTTTTACCTCCTCTGGGCTTTTCTCGTTGCCGTAGTCGTCCACGTAAGTGTAGCCAAAGTCAAAGCTGATCACCGTCTTGCTGCTCTCCGCGTCCTTCTTGACGTCGCGCTTGTGGACTTCTTCCTTCGCTCTCGTGCTGAGGCATGCTTGGCACCAACCAGCAAAGGGGTAGTGCGTGAGGTTGTGCTCGTTCTGCTGTTCCAGGCTTGGCCTCTTAGGGATGCCCAGAGACACAGGTTTCCGCTCCTTCTCGCGGTACAGCTTTCTCGCAATCTCTTGTCCAGCCTCATGAGCAACTTTGCCTTGCTCCCTAATGTAGGCAAACCGTGCCGTTCACACCCTTCTCGCAATTCTTTCAGGGAGTTGTCGAGGCTGTACCTCACTGCATCCATCTCCACCTCCTTTCTGTGACCAGCGTGCTCCTCAGCTGCTGCCTCCTCTTCATGGTGGTTCTCTCATCATCTTCTCGTCTCCAACTCCAACTTCCTCGTCTGACCAACCCAGCTCATCTGATTGCAGCTCTCTGTGCGTCGTGGGGAATGGCGCCACCGGGACTTCTGAGTCCACCTTGAAGTAGTCCTTCATCTTCGCAGGCGCCACAACGGTGATGGTCCTCTGAGGATCTTCCGCAGGTCCAAACCGCCTGAACGCCATGTTCCCCAGCTGCGTGTAGTCGCTCACGTTCTCCACCTGCATCCATTTACCGTCCTTGGTCTTCATGAAGGTCATCCTTGCCCTCCAATCAAACGTACCTGACGGATCCAGCAGTTGCGTGGCCACTGGGTCGCTAAAAAAGCCGCCAGGCCATTTGGCAAAACATGCCTGGATGGTTTTGTCCAGCTCCTTGAAGCTCGCGCCCAGGAAGCCTTCCAACACACAGACCTCCACCGTGTTCCACTCTTCCTCGTGCTCGTTGTTCTCAGTCTCCACCGAGCATGTCTCCGCCACAACCTGCAGGCTATTTTTCTTCATCTCCAGCGGAATCTCAACTCCTTGCTTGTGCCAGAGATTCAGGCCATCTCCGCTTCTCCTCATCCCATCCACTGTGTAGTAGACGTCCAGCACACAGGATGGGATGTTCCGTCCTTGCCCATCATGGCAAAGTTCACCTTTCTCATTCCGCTCTGCTGGATGATGCCTTTCATGATAATCTGTCTTCCTCCTTCATGGGCTTCTTCTCCAACTCCAGCAAACTCCTCAGGCAGCACTGAAATGTCTGCGCCTGAATCGACCGTCATGAGCACCTTGGACATCCATGATCCATCTCTTCGTCCATCACCATATTCACCTACTAGATCTCGTCTTCCGTCTCGAAGTTATCGTCCTGCAAGTCCATGGCCACCACAGTGGCCTTTCCGATCTCTTCCACCACAGGCTCGTGGGCATCAAAGAACGACTCGTCGTCCTCGCGCTCCACCATCAGCACAGCGTAGCTCTCATCCTCCACCTCCTGGATCATCCCCAGGAACTCATCTTCTCCAGCAGTGAGGTCGAACATCCTCGTCTCATTCATGTCCGGGGGAGTGACCAGCCAGATCATTCTGACGCTCGCCGAACCTGCTTGCTGAGCTTTGCACTCCTCCTGAAACCGTTCCACCTCCGGTAGTTCCCGATGAAGATGGTGTAGCCGGGGCATACGTCCAATCTCCTTCGACCTGGTTGATGTTCCGCGGGGCCCAGCAATCTCTTGATCTGTGGCCCAGTTCCTGCGCCTTGCTCTTGCCTTTGCTTTTGCCCTTCTCATCCTTGGACTTGCCCTTGACCTTGAAGTCGTTGTAGCCTTGTCCCTTCTTGGACTTGCCCTTGCCGCACTTGCCCTTTCCGTCCTTCTTGCCCTTCTGGTTGGAGTAGCCGCCGATGTAGTCCACATCCATTGGGGTTGGACCCTCCATGCTTGCCTGACTGGGCAAGCCAAGCACGTTTTCTGCGCTCCATTTCGTAGTGATCGCCTCGTATTGTTCGATCCTTCCCTTCAGCGACTCAAACGTCGTCTCCGCGCTCACCATCATCTGCAGTTGCGTCCTCACACCAACAGGGCAGGCGGAAAGGATTGATGCAACCTTCAAGCCCTCGAATTACACCTGCGGTGAGACCCTCTCGTACTCCCTGACCAGGGCTTCGTAGGCCGGGAGCTGCTCCCTGATGGACTTGTTTGGGGCGAAGGCGATCCTCGACAGTTGGGTCATCAAGGCCAATGCCCTCTGCCTTGTGCTCGGCTGCATGTCTCTCAGCAGCAGCCTCCATGCTTCGTAGCCGTTCTCTTCCGGCGTGTGCTTGATGAGCTTGAGCGCCCGGCCCCGTAAATACGAAGCCAGCACTCCGAAGAGCCTCAAGCTCTTCACCTTCTCGCATCGCTCAGCTCGTTCCAGTCGATCGCCTCCTCAGCGTTCTGGTCCACCCGCTTCATGTCCAGGTACATCTCTGGGTCCACCGCCTTGACCCAGTTCTCCAGCGTGAACTTCCAGTCCTCCCATTGCTTCAACTCGCTTTCGCGGGTGTCGGCCTTGAAGACTTCTGGCCCTTTGACATTCCGGGCCCACTGATTCTGCTCCTGGCTGCGGGTCAGGCCGTCCAGCACCTCTCTGATTTGCTGTAGCTGCTCAGCCATCTTGCCGTAGGTCCGATTTATGACCTCCACAAAGATCCGCAAATAGACCTTCTTCACCTCCGTGTAATCCGCCTTGCACCTGTACGTCTCCAGGCCACTCAGGTCGTCCAGGTCGCAGCTAACTCGCTTTGGCCGCCCTTCAATCTCCTCACTCTCCACCGACCACCAAATTCGAATTGAGGCCCACCGATGTTGACCACCTCCTGTCTCCAGCTCAGACTCTCTCCAGAGCTCTCCGCGATCGTGCCCAGCAGCAGGAGGATCGGTAGCCAGGGCACATTTGTTCTCCCTTGCGGTCGAGGTCCCTGATCGGGCCGTCGTGGTTCTCCTTGTCCAGGCTGCCTACCACAGGGTAGGACTTACAGCACCGGCTCTGCTACCATGTCGAGCGAATGGCAGCTCTTTTTCTGTGGCAATTAGAGCCTCCGATTGCGGTGCATGTACATCATGCTTCGCATGCGGATATGACTGAACACAAGAACAATCCTCACATTATTTGCGGACCACTGCGACCATGGAGCCACTCTTCAGTTCTTTGTTGTGCGCGTCCAGTTGTTGAACGTAGCTTTGTTCAACGTGGATCACGTGGTTCTTGTCCTCGACCTCCTGTCTCGCCCTGATCAGTTTCACCTTCTCGCTGTTCGCCTCTTCACAGTAGGCACGTGCCTCATCATTCAGCAGATTCCTTCAGCTCCGTGTCGGTTGGCGAGGTAGATAGCAACCTGATTTTTTCCGCAGCCTTCACTTTGTTGGGTTGAATGGCGTCCTCGTCAATCGTGATGATCTTTCTCTGCGATCCTCCATGATGGCATTGGCTCTCAGAGCTTGACACGCCTGTTGAAAAGCTTCAGTTGACCTTGTCCCAAGCAGACCAACGCTTCGTCAGCAGCTGCCGGTGACTGTCGCCGAAGACCTCCGCCTCAGGAGCCACCTTCTTTAGTTGCGCCACCTGAATTCACGCCTGATGGTCCACAACCTTTGTGCGTGCGCTTGAAGACCGTGCGAACTCTTCCTCCCGTTCAACGACCCCCATACAGACCGTTGACAGTCCGATCCATCTCTTTTTTATATTTGGCGACGGTTGGCGCGGTCGAGGTGCCAAAACTGCGGACTTTTTTGCGATTTCCGCGCAACCTACTGGGATTTGGCGTGGCTTTTTACGATTTCTGCTTTGAACGCACGACCCTCTGCGGGGGATTGGCGTGGTCAATGCTACTTTTCTTGTCGGAACCCGGGCTTGAAAGTTTGTGTCGTGGTTTGCGCATGCGCTTGGAAGCGAGCTTGGTCTCCGTGGCTGCTAAGCTAGCAAGTCAGCAGCGCGAAACCAACTCGCAAAGTGCACTTTCACAATTCTGGCTGAAAAATCGCATTTCAAGTATGCAAAGAGTACGCGAAGTACAAGTTCCAGCTTCGGCTAGAAAATCGCAACTACTACGAAAGTGTTTTGCGAAGTACACTTAGTCCGAGAACTTGCTCAAATAAATTTGTTGCAAGCTTGCGCAGCACACTTGCGCCGAGTGCTTGCACAGCGCAACGTTACATCATTTCCTGGCGTGGCAATGTGGCTTGGCGGGAGTTCTTGCGTTGCGGCTTTCAAGTTTCTGATGCAGGTTGACGCCGTACTGTTTGCTTAGAGTTTCTGCCCGCACGCACGCGCGCTCGTGTGACACACACTCACACGCACAGGTAACCTTACTTTCCATTGTGCGTTCGGGCCACCCATGGTTCTAGTTGTTGCTCTCACCTTTTTTTCTGCGCTGCCAATGAGGAAAGCTGTTGGTGAATGGGACAGGTGGAGGCTCCCAAGCAAAGCGCTGTAAGGGTGCAGCGTGCTGAACTAGGGATGCCGGATTGCCAGTACACATCCCCCCAATGTTGGAACACGGGGAAAGGAATGGCAGCCAATCCGCAATGCCGCAAAAGAACGAGTGCGCATCTTGAACACGGCGCGCTCCAAAAACACAATGCGGGGTCCGTGTTGCGCTGGCACGCGCCGTGCTAGCCGCTGAACAGAGTCCGCCCTCTGGGCTGAGGGGCCAACTTTAAGCGCAGCGTTTTGGGCCTGGTGGGCTGGCAGCCTGTCAGCCATCCACCGCGGAAATCCCGACCTTGAAATGCCCCGTGTTGCCGCTTCCGCCACCGCATGTCGGGGACGATGCCCCGGCGGAGATGGCAGCAAGCTGCATCAGCTGCCGCAAATTTACAACACGCTCGTTCCCACAGTGGCAGCCTTGAATCCGGTCCGTGCTCAACCGAAGTGCCCGAAGTCTAAAAGAATGATTTTTGAGCCGGCGCATGTCGGAGTGTTACGGGTTACGTCTGATGCAATGGCTCAGCGCAATGCCGGTGGCAAAGAGCAGGAGGTGACTGGCTTGCCTTTGTGGGGGAGGTGTTCAACTTGCCGTCGACACCACCTGCGCTTGGTGTGTTGTTGCTTCGGCCCGACTCGCGCTGCAGGTTGGGCGGCCCGCAGCCCAAACATGCTCACACGCGCATGGACACCAAACCGATGTCTGTTTAAATGTGTTCTGATAAAACTAAAACTTGTTCAGACAAGTTCTGCGCAAAAAACATGCCCCAGGGCCAGCAAGCCGAACCCAAATGTTCCTATCTGCGGCGTCATGCACTCATGACTTCGGGAGTGGTCTTCGTAGTACAGTATCGTCACAAGTGACATCGCCCTTACTTCGACCACCCGACCCAAACAAGGAACTTTAGTACGGACGGTGACGTGTCAGCGTTTAAAGACTCAGTTGTTCGCCCAGCACCACCAGACTTGAGCCTCGAGGTCGGCGCACATGCAAAAGAAACTGCAGGAAAGATGTCACGCCTTTTCTTTCCCGTGCCCACGATTCAGCCTTTGCCTTCACGTGCCACCCTCCCCTCTATGATCTTGAAAACTCCACGTGAAGGCCGTCATACAAGGGTGAAGCTATCTCAATTTTTTTTTCTGTTGGATATTCGTCCCACTGCAACCGTGATGCCGCATCTGCTATGACCCTAGCGTACCAGTTGGCCAGGCCAACTTTCAGGTCAAGCTCAGCACTCTGCAGTAACAAGTTGAATTTGCGGAGGATCGGGGAGTAATTTTTACCAGCGCAGATCTCGCGGCCTCGTTGTCGCAAAACCACAATACGCCCCTGCCTGTGAGCAAGTGTGCGAATGTGTTCTCAGTTCTCAACAACATTGACTGGGAAGAGCTCAGCCTGGCATGTACGGCGCGTGTGGGTGAGACGAGCGGTGAAACGGCTGAGTGAAACGACGAGCTTGCCATTCCTGGCCCAAAAGTCGACAAACTCTGTGGGCATTGCGTCCTCCGGAAAACCAAGCGCTTTCTCCTGCCAGGTGTGTACACCACGGCTGACCGATGCCAACTCATCCTCACAGGCGCCGTCTGCGTAACTTGTTTGATGGTGTGTGGAGCACCAGATTGCCTTGCTTTTTACGTTTATAAATTAGGTGTATGGTTCTGCGAGC